ACGCCTCAGCTCCCACTCCAGTGGTTCCCATGGGCCCCAACTGCCAGGAGCCCAGAGGGCACAGGAGCTTTGGTGGGCCAGCTTGCTGCAGCAGGGACCCGAGTGGGATAAGCATGAGACAGGCAGCCCACCCGGACACCAGCTGCCTGGAAGTCGCCACGCCTGCGCCTCTGGCCCAGCCTGCCTGGAGTCTGGGCTGTCCCCCGCCTGCAGCCACTATTTAGAACTGGTTTCCTCTCACAGGCCCCTGAATGTCCCGCCCCTAGGGACAGACAGCAGGCCCGAAATGGGGACCCAGAAGCCCACGAGACATCCTAGAAACAGGGGTCGCCTGAGACCGCGAGGTGAACCGGACCCCGGAGCCCAGCTCCACGTTGGAGCCCAGAAGACAAACCTGGCCCCTTCTGACTCTCGAATTTTCCATTGGGGCCTCGGGGCAGTTGGGTCCCTGGGAACATTGAACCCAGGACCAGAGGGTCTGCTCCAGCAGTGTCCAGGGTGCTTGATGATTGCCTGGTTACCTGCCCACGTGTCCCTGTCCGGAGGCAGGGGACAGCAGAATACCCTGTGGCAGGAGAGAGGATGGGCTGCCCGAGCCCATGAGCACCCCCCAGCCAGGTGGCACCAGGGATGGAGAGGAAGGAGAGCCAGGAAGGCCTTCAGGGTGCCATGGTGGCCCTGAGTTCAAAGCTGTGCCCGATCCCAGGCCAGCCCTGGGGACCAGGACCGGCCCTTCTAGAAGGGTCTGGCCTGTCACCATCCCACACATGGGGAGGCAAGCCCCAGATCTCACGCATCTCTCCTGAAGTCCCACAATAATGGCAACCGTGTCTACTGAGCGCTGGTGAGCCGGGTGCTCGGCTGGGTGTCAATATCAGTATCCGGCTTAATTCTCCCAAGTCTCTTGTGAGGTGGGTTTGGTGGGGAGCCTCCCTGGTGGGTCAGAAAACATGAGCAACCATCCAACAATAGCCTGAAGACAACAGCAGCAGTAATAACAATGAGAAAAGGCCGGGCTTGGTGGCTCAGCCTGTAATCCTGTGCTTTGGGAGGCTGAGGTAAGTGGATTACCTGAGCCCACAGGTTCGAGACCCGCCTGGGCAACGTGGCGAGACCTCATCTCTACAATAAATCAAAAA